CCCAGCCCCTCACTGGGGGATTCTAGGCAGGTGCTCTCCACTGAGCCACAGCCCAGCCCTTTTTTTTTTCTTCTTGCCTAGGCTTTGTACTTCTGTGTAACCCACTCTGGCCTTGAACTTTTGCTCCTTCTGCCTCAGCCTCCTGAGTTAACTGGAATTACATTCTGGGACCCTGGAAACCGTGCTGGTGAAGTCTGCAGTGAGCACTAGGACGTCCTGTTCATAGGCTTTCAAGTCAAAAGATATAGCAGTTCTAGAGCAACAGGATCAGGGCAAGAGCCTATGTTGGGTTACTGACCATGCAGAACAGACTACATGGATTTCGTAACCCCAGGATACTCTCTAGAGAGCGGGGGAGGGGGGGGCTGGGAATGGGCACAATTCAATTAGTTAATTTTTATGTGTATGGGTGGTTTGCCTGTGTGTGTGTGTGTGTGTGTGTGTGTGTGTGTGTGTGTGTGTATTTGTGAACTATGTGCATGCCTCCTGCCCATTTAGTTCAGTGGTGGGCATCAGATCCCCTGGAAACTGGAGCTATGGATGATTGTGAGCTACCCTGTGGGTGCTAGGAATGCAAGCAAGAGCAGCCAGTGCTCTTTCTGGTCCTAGCCTGAACTTGATGCTCTTGATCCAGCTTCCCAAGGGCTGGGATTACAGGAATATACCACCATGCCCAGTTTCACAGCATCGCTTTCTCATGGCACCTTTTTGAACCAGGGCTTGTTGTCAGTCCTATTTCATGGACACGGAGGCACAGAGAACTGAAACAAGGTCACACGGCCAGAAAACACAAGTGTCCTGCCCCTTTGATTTGACAGTGTGGGTTATTCAGGTACCAGTTTGGCTGGGGCCCACAGGCAATCACTGGGTGTGATGTGGCCAGAACTCATGATTGGCTTCTGCCCTCCTTCAGGCCAAATTACAGAATCACATTTGCTTGGGTATAGTTAAGTCCTCTTGAGTCACAGTCGTCTTTGTCCTTACAGTACAGGACCGTTGAACATCCTGTCACTTGCCGGCAAGGAACACACTTTCTGTGTAGACGGCCTTAATCACAGACAGATGCTCTATGTCTTTATATTTGTCATTTTACCCTTTATCTTTTTAATTACCTGACTGAAATATACACTCTGAACTCCAGGACAGTATCTGATAACAGTTTTAAGCTGTGGACCACAGACGGTGACTAAGTTTTTTTGTGTGTGGAAATTATTTTTTTTCCAGTAGGTCAGGGACAAACCATAAAAACAAAGAACTAGGTAGAAATAATAACAGCATTAGTCAGTTTGGTGTGGTGGCACACATCTCTGATCCTGGTGATCAGTGAGTGGAAGCTGGAGAAGCATGCGTTGAAGGATTGCATGAGCCACTGCTGGGTAAGTATTCGTAGGGAGACACGAAAAAACATTATGCACCTCCTGATAAGTCAGTGGTGACAGATGAAGGAGAGGATGCCACCCGAAGTCTAGCTCAGCAAACCAGTGAATTGATGGAGATTGCTTACAGGAGCATGGGTGACTCAAAGGCAGCTGCGTCATAAAGAGCCCACTCCACCATGGGTTCTGACTCATGAGAGCTGTGTCCCTGGAGGTCCTAGGGGAATGTTCCTTCCCAGAAATTCCTGCTGCTTACATAACCTGGTGGGGGGGGTATCCTGGGAACCCTGTTCAATTTCAGGAACTTCCTGGGACTTGCACATTTTATTTTCTAAGTCCTGGTGGGATGATTCAGTTCAGAGGCCATAGCCACAGCAAACATCCTATCTCAAAAAATCTGGGTGTGGGACCTGGGGACATGACTAGCAGTTAGGGTGTTTTCTGTGTCATCATGCTAACTGGAGTTTGGATGCCCCCCAAATATAAATAAATAAATGCCTGATGGGTGTGGTGGTCCACCTATAATTCCAGCCACAGAGGATCAAGATAGGGATGGTGAGGGATATATGTCCTTAGAGGTCCTTTCCCCAAAAACAAATGACCAAACAACTGGAATAAAGAAGCAAAATAAAAAAGCATAGCATTTTATTACTGTAGAAGACAATTTAAGTTATAATTACAATAGCTGGTGCTGCCTAGCATGCCTTTCTTCCATGGACTAACAGCTGGGAACAGGGTCAGTTATTCTTTCCAAGCTTACCATGAAAAAGAAATCTGGCCACCTTTATTCCTGGAAAAAACCAAAAAGAGAACCCGTTAGGAATCAATCTAAAACAAATTAAGCTGCCCTCAGTAATGTGAGGCCGGGGAACTGATGTCAATGCTGGATTCCAGGGGGAAAATGAGACCAAGGTGGATGGCACCAAAACGATCTGAAAGACAGAGCTTGAAGGACAGAGTGTCTGGGCTTCTGAAAATTTAATGAAGGCTATGACTTGCCACGTGAAATCCTTCTGTTTGCTTGGGCAGAGTGGAGCCTGCTAATCTGTTCAAGATCCTCTCTATTCCTAGGTGAAATTAGATTTATTTATTTATTTTATTTATTTTTTTGGAAAACATTACTTTCCTTTCGTGACTGTAAGCCCACAGGGAGCTAGCTGGCTGCCTGTATGCGCCTGCCTTCTCCAGACTGGACCAGACCCCTGACCACATGTAACAGATTAGTCGAGGTCTTGGTCTGCTGATTGCCACCACTATGTCTGCATTCTTTTTCTGTTATCAAAGGAGCTGGGAACTGTTCTGTCCCGGATCTGGCAGCAGCCTCAGCTCAGCAGTGTGGGCGGTCTTTTCCTGGTCACGCACAGAGAAAAGGGAGAAAAGAGGAGGGCGCATCTGAGAGCAATGGTGTAGGTTTGTTACTACCAGCATCCAGAAGGTTGAGGCAGGAGGATACCGAGGCCAGCCCGGGTTATATAGGAGGAGGTGTTGGGACAAGGGAGAAAGAAAGAGTAGAGGTGGAGGGAGAGAGAGGAGGGGAGAGAGACAGAGAGAGAGACAGAGACAGAGACAGAGACAGAGAGAGACAGAGAGACAGAGACAGAGAGACACAGAGACACAGACACAGACACACACACAGACACACACAGACAGACAGACAGACAGAGAGAGAGAGAGAGAGAGAGAGTAGATATTGCTTAATCCCAGAAGACAGAAGGCAGGAGTTCAAGGTTATCTTCCAATGTATTGCAAGTTCAGGGCCACCCTGGGCTACATAAAAGAAAGAAAAGAAGATAGGAGAGAGGGAGCGGGGAAGGAAGGGAAAGAAGAAACTGGTTTAGGCAGGCCTTGATGGTTGTGCCCTTAGTTTGAGGAGAAGAAACTTCTGTCTGCTTCCACAGACTTCCTTGGGCAAGACAAAGATGAACATATAAAAATGACGTCCCAACCTCGATGGAATGCACCGTCTTGATTTCTTCAACTGTTTCCTCCATGGTTAAGAGACCGCTCAATGGGTTTCAACACGTTTGCAGAATGTCTTCCACTTTTCATGCTGCCTGCCCCTCCAGCGATTACTGTTGTCCTCTGCCCTTTTTCACATGGCCACACCCTGCAGGAGACGGTAGAGACAGATTACAATCTCTGTAGGGCTGCAAAGCTAGCAAGGCATGCAACAGCAAACGAAAGAACGGTTATAAATAGGAGGGGGCATCAAAATTATAATGGGTAGAGTGGGTACACCTGCCCTGGGTTCCATTCCCAGAACTGGGGGAGTGGGGGGGCGTGCTGGGATGGGTAACTAGTTATTTGTATAATTACTTCCTTCCATATTCTATACCTTCTAGTCCATCAGTCCAAGGAAGACAAGAGCTGAGTCTCTTCCTTCCTTCCTCCCTCCCTCCCTCCCTCCCTCCCTCCCTTCCTCCCTTCCTCCCTGCTCCCCCTTCCCTCAGTTTTTCAAGAGGGATTTCTCTATGTAGCTCACTCTGTAGACCAGGCTGGCCTCGAACTCAGAGTGGCCTGCCTCTGCCTCTGCCTCCCCAGGGCTGGGATTAAAGACGTGTGTCACCACCGCCCGGTGGAGCTGAATTGTTTTTTCATCTTTGTATTCTGAGCACCTAGACCAGAGACTGGAATGTAAGAGGTGCCTAAGGGGTCTGCCTGCAAGGTAGCTCAGTGGATAAGAGTGCCTGCTGTTGAGCCTGAGGACCCAAGTTCTATCCCCAGGACAAGCCTAAGGGCTTGAGATTGATTCCCTGGGACCCACAGGGTGGAATGAGAAGAGTCAATTCTTGAAAGGTGTCCTGTGACCTCCACACGTGTACCACACGAGTGTCCCCACACATACACAATTAAGACATGCAAAAAATCAAGTGCACCTATTTATACTTCCTACCCAGTAATTGCAAAAATGCAAGAGTTTTATTCAATACAATTATCTCGGGGCATGTCTTTTTATAAGAGTCCTTTTCCTTACAAATTTACTGAGGACAATTTCAATACCTCAGCTGGATGAGTATTGAAGGCACCTGCTGCCAAGCCTGACAGTCGGAGTTTGATCCCAGGACTCACATGGTGGAAGGGGAAAGCTGGCTTCTGTAAGCTGTCCGTTGATCTCCACACCTGTGCCATGGCATGCGTGCACTGCCCCCTAAAAATTAACTAACTAACTAACTAACTAACTAAATAAATAAATAAATAAATGTAATAAAGACATTGATTTAACATTTGAGAAAAGCACTCAAAACTAGCCATAACTGAGTGTCTTAGTGGCCAATGACAGCTTTAATGTCCCTATATGAAGGCAGAACAGCTATCTTTGAGGGATTTATGAAATACCAGAAAACACCACTCTTCAAGAAAGAAAATCTATTTTTTCCCCTGATATTAACACCTGTGAATTTTGAAGGTCTTTCTTCATATAAAGGGCAGAAATGATACCCTAAGCCTTTATTCTCCCATTGTTCTTTAAAATTTTTGTTTAAGATTTATTTATTTCATTTTATGTAATTAGTGTTTATCTGGATGTACATATGTGCACCTCTGCATGTATGCCTTTTGCCTGAGGAGGTCAGAAGATGTTGGATCTCTTAAAACTGGAGTTAGGGCTGCTTGAGACTTACCATGTAGTGCTGAACCTGGCCCTTTGCAAGAACAAGTGCTCTTAACCGCAGAGTGGATCTCTCCAGCCCCATCTCCCAACATCCTTGTATCCTTGTGTGTTGTGTGGTACCCATGAGGATGCCGGGGAAGAATGTTATGTTAGATGCTTTCATCTTTTTTTTTTTTTGTTTTTTGTTTTTTGTTTTTTTTTTGTTTTTTTGTTTTTTTGAGACAGGGTTTCTCTGTGCAGAGCTGGCTGTCCTGGAACTCGCTCTGTAGACCAGGCTGGCCTGGAACTTATAGAGACCCACCTACCTCTGCCTCCTGAGTGTTGGATGAAAGGGGTGCACTACCACCACCCAGCCAGGTGCCTTCCTCTTACCACTCTCCTCCTTAATGCCTTGAGAAGGGGTGTCTCCCTGAACTGGAAGCTTGCCAGTTTGGCTAAGCTGGAGGCCTGTGAGCTCTTGGGATCAACCTGTTTCTACTACGCTTTCACAATCATGCCTGGCTTTCCACATGAGTGCTGGGATTTAAGTTCACATCCTCATGCTTGCCGGACAAACACTTTTGCACACTGAGCTGTCTTTCCTCCCAACATTCTTTCAGGCTTTGTCAAAATGGGGTCTCAGGCTGACCCATGGGGATAATACTCATTGTTTACAAATAACTTCTGTGTGCTTTATGCTAATGGATTGGACTCCATGGGTATCAGAAGCAGTTTTTTAGATTCAGACTCTGAGAGAAGTGCCTGTAGACCACGCTTTAAGAAAATGGAAGCATTAGGAATGAGTATTAATATATATTAAATTGC